CCTGACAAATATCTTTTCTTTTTTGCCACTGAGTCATTTTCTGGCGTCCCAAATTCCACCACAAACCCAACTCAATGCTAACGTAACCCCTTGCTTTGGGAAGGCAGGAATCGGGATCCTCATTGCATTTATGAAAGAGATCTGCTGGGAAGGTCTTTCAAGTCTCACCGCTCCTTTTGAAAACGGTTTCATGACGTGCAGCACATGCGGTTATTTTGTCCTGGGCGGCCCTCTGAATTTCAGAAAAGGGTGGAAAGGCTCAAGCGTCACACCATTTTGGCACCGGTTTTTGGCAGCACCTACCCATAAGGGTTTTTGATCGTCCTGGTGGTAATAAGGCATCTGTCACTAGCCGCGGCTACCACTTTGCAACACCACGCAGAAGCCAGTCAAAAACGCAAAATTTTATCGGCCGGGTGCCGAATCATTAAGCAAACTCTCATCTCTGTTTTGGCGTTCAGAGGGCCGCTCAAGAAAAGTGAGGCATGGTTCTATGTTCCACGCGCGTGCCCCTATATAACGCAAAATCCGTTTTGAAAAAGCGGTGCACGACTTGAAAGAACTTTTTGTAAGCATTCAGTAGACCCCAAAGTCACTAGTTAGAAATTTCATGATAATTGATCCCCGAAGCCTTGCTTTGCAAGTGTGACCCTTTTTGGCAGAGAAGTTTATGCAAAGCATTATTTAGCGTTTTCTTTCTCTTCTGGATGAAGTCGAAACGAGTAGAAAACAACACGCGAAAGCCACCACAGCCGTGCGCGTGGACCGATGTGATCTATGTCTCCTGGCTTGTTGTTCGAGTACTGGACCGAACTTAGATTAGAAGCAAAGAGCGGTCCGTATCTTCGAGGTCGAATGGCTAAAGTCTGACTCAAGAAGAATATGTAACGTTAACGCTGTGAAGTTCCGGTGAGGGTCGCACCAATGCGAAAATCAACGGCAACAAAGGGGGCATTCTGTGGTTCTGGGTTTTTCTCATATTTTTTTCCATTCCTGCACCACTGACCACTTCTACGTTGATATCTATTGGCTGCATCTACATAAACTAAATCTACATAAGCCTTAACGTAAGCATTTTCGACGGAATTATTTCCTTTTCTTTCATCCCACTGATGCTTCCGCATTCGTGTGAAGCACACTAGTTTATTCCTGTGGCATGCCTTGGAACCCCTGATTCAGTGTTCTCTTGAAATTTGCTATTGCCCTCCTTACTACCTTTCCACTCTTTATCCGTACCCCTGTTTTTCATCTTTTTTGTGAAGAGTCGCGCAGTGTTCGATCGTGGTGATGTTTGAAGAGAAATTAGAAAAATTATCATCTAGTTCCTGCCTACTAATTTATAGATTATCTCCCTCCTGTCGTAGTACATATCTTGCAGTGAGATGAAAATTAGAGTTTTCAGTGTTTCTACACGCTGAAAGTGTTTGGTGTAAACGTGAATGAACTGTAAAGTATTGCCCCTTCTTGCCTTTCACTTTCTTTTCACATTTTTTTGATAGTGACATGTGAAAATGAAGGTAATTGTAAGTACTCCTTCATCTGACTCTCTCATCGAAATGCTGCTCGAAAAATCTGAGCCTTCTTATGGCATCCTAAAAACAGTTTTTTCAGAATGTACTCTGACATAGAGAGCTTCTCTAGTGATGAGCGAGGACATGCGAAAAAGGTACGTTTAAGGCCATTTTACAACATTACAGCATTTATACTTAGTATCCTTCATACAGCCATTTCTGTTATCTCAAAATATTAGTCTTATATTTTTTTCAAACACAGTATGCATAATATTAGGTCATCTCATTCAAACATGTCCACGGTTTTATTCGAATAAAATGAACAGCAGGAAAGATAAAAAGCTAATACTTTGGTGTGAAGTCAAGCAGATCTTGTCGTTGTTAACGACCCGATCCCAGCGTCTAGAAAACACTGGACACCGCGCAGCTTCTTCATTTCAACAAGTATAGACAAGATGCTTTTGATGTCAGTATAGATGATCAACGAATTGTCGTAGCGCTTCCGAACGAGTAGGGCGTTCAGTTCGATAAAACAGCTGAGGTCGCATGGCTGCAGTTGGGAAAATACAGCTGATAAGAAGAGGCCACAATATCCGTTTGATCGAAATACCCGTGAGCAATATGAGCTATGTAGGGTCTGGTATCGACATAGGTGATGATATCGTTATTGTAGTTTTATACTGCTATTCCTTTGTCAATTTGTTCGCTAAGAAACAAGCCATAAACTTGAGAAACGCCGGAGGTTTTTTCCCGACAGAGCCATTTAAGAGGCACACCTCAGAAATCCATCGCCATAACCCACGTGACTTCTCGTGATCCAATTCGGGCAGTTCCTCATTCGCGTTAATCCAAAGTTGACACTTCTGACTTTGGCCTCAGCGTACAATTACACACAAATTTCGTTTATGAGCAGGGTCCAGTTTGATAGTCTTAAATGCCGTTATCGGCAGAGAAAATCATTGCTACAGACACCAATTCGATTCTGGACTCCTGCATCTGGGAGTAAATGGCATATCCAAAAACATGTTCTGTGGACCATCCCCAATTTTTGGGCACAATTTGCGTAACAGGTGCAGCTAGACTGCAAGTCTCGTGGGCAAACATCGCAAAGGTTCAACATCTGTGATGCGCCATTTGAAACCTCATTTCATCCACCCGCTCTTCTTGGGCAAGGTGGACAATATGAACGCGTCCTCAACCACAACTCGCTTCCGTTCTCCCTTCTTTGAGCTCTCACACCATATCTTCAACGTAGCACTTCGAGAACACTGTATCACGCGTAAGTTGAGCCAGCACACACAGAATTCGAGTTGCGAATTGCACGTGTGTCACCAGTCATCTGGAAATTCCACCTCGATTTGGGTCACTATGAATTCTTTTATGTGTTTAAGTGTTTCCTCCTGCAGCACTATAAACTAAATTAGAGTATACCGTAGCTGGGTGTGCTAGCTTAAAAGCAAAAGCAAGTAGAATGCTCTAGCTCTTTTACTTTTCCCACCATTTCTCTAGATGTCTGGACATGTTTGAATGAGTTGACTAATATATTAGGTTGTCTCATAAGTGATGTCGTTTTTTTTCAACCAAAAAATTTTCATCTAAATCATGAAACTTTTACATCGTTTTATATATCATTCGAAAGAGAATTGTCTGCTCTACAAAATGCTATGTTCCCACTTCCACATTTCTTCCAGGGTTTTCAAATTTTGGGCCTGTGAAATGGGAGGTCCGGCCGACAAAAAATGGCCAAACCGACAACTGGCTGTAACTTTATTTTCCCTGGGGAGAAATCAACCAGTGATATACCCTATACTTACCCATGACCTCTTCTAAACATTCCACTCTTAGGTTGCCGAAAAAGCTTTGCCGTTTTTCTTTTCGAATTGGCTGACGGATAAGCCATAGCAATTTTCAAATTAAAATTGTTCCTCGTAAACGTCATTGTTTCATATCGAGTGGTGTTCCTTTTACGAGCACTTCTTCTGCTCTACTCGCTCATTTGTTTTGTTTCTCTGTTTGTTGGGAATTAGTTCGAATTTTAGATGTTTCGGTATAAGGTGCTTTACCGCGAAAGTGACCACATTTCTTTGAAAAAAATTATCCCTTAGAAAATGAGAAAATCAACCAGTCGTACATTCCTAACTTAGTCATGACTTGTTCTTCAAATTCAACCAGTTCTTCAACGTCTCGGCCATAAAAAAATTTCGACCTAGATCACAGGTAATGGTGCTCGATCGTCGAGTTCTGGTTGAAAAACCAGCTCTGGAAATTGAACGACGCGATTTGTAGGAAAACCTAGTAGTGTAATGATTAGAAGAGGTCATGCATAAGTAGAAGGTACATCATAGATTGATTTCTCCCAAGGAAAGATAATGTTAGAGATAGTTGTCGGTTTGGCCATTTTTTGTCGGCCGGACCTCCCATTTCACAGGCCCAAAATTTGAAAACCCTGGAAGAAATGTGGAAGTGGGACATAGCATTTTGTAGAGCAGACAATTCTCTTTCGAATGGTACACAACACGATGTAAAAGCATGGAGGTTTAGATGAAAATTTTTTGGATGAAAAAAAGCGACACTGTTTATGAGACAACCTAATATTTATACTCACAGTATCATTTCCTTCTCAAAGCATTCAAGTGTGCAGCAGCCAATGCTCTTCGATTTCTCAACGATCAGAAAATGGAAATGAAAAGAAAAAGGTGAAGGCAAGAAAAGTAGTGAGGTTGTGAATAGATCTTAATTTTTTGCGCCCTGGTGTCCCACGAAGCACTCAGCGCGTGAGTCGCGCAGGAACAGGCTAAAGTTTTTGGGCTCTAGTACACTTGAAATAGGTCGTAAGCCGTGAATGCGGCAGAACTCTGGTGTTGTATTCCGGTCCCCTTCATTCACAGGGGCCTGTTTCCATCCCTGGTGAAACCGCTACAGTCCTTGCTGGAGGCATTTTCAAGGGCTGAAGGCGAAGTGGTGTAGTGTTCATTGGTGGCTTCTATCAGTCATAACCAGTATCGTGCGCTATCCCTTGCCGAGCCTCACAGTCAGTCATTCGGGGTCGGCGAACTGGTGCCAAGAAACAACACATAGACACGTACATGGAGTAGCCAACCCACTGTAATTTCTGAATCGCACTCCAATTCATTACGTTTACGAATGATGGTAGGATGATGATGGCATGGCGCATCCGTGATGAGATTGGCCACGTCGAATGCTTAACCCATTTCTTGACCAAGCGCCCAGACAATCTGACATTTTTCGCCCACCAGCCGCAACTTTTCGCCTTTATTGTGTTTACCTTGAGTTAATCAATTTTTGCAAAGGTCATCGGCGCAGTTTACAGTTCGCAAGAAATATTGCTCTCACAGTTTTTTTTACTGAAAAGGAAAACGTTGACTAGCCCTTTCATAGCGATCAAGATTGAACAAAAAAGTCGCAACAAGACGACACTTTGCAAATTCAATGAGGGGAAATCGTTCGTTGGGAGTGTGTCGTTACTATCGTAGATGTGGTTTCCACAAATGAGCAGAGAATCAGCGCATTGCATTCAGTAAACCAGAATTCTGATTTGAATTCGGGTTCCCATTTTCCTAGTGCGCTCAGTTCAGCTGCCTTCAGGTAAACTTCCGTTTACCTGCGTACCGCGTGATACACATGGTGCACTACCATTTTTTGGATATTCTTGACATAGGGCGGAAGTGGTGTAGTGGCAAGTGGCGCGCTTACCACGCGAGCGGTCCGGGGATCAAATCCTGGGTCGTGAGTCGCCCGGGCCAACCAAGCCTTCCATCCCTCCGGGGTCGGTTAATTGGTACCAGACTTGTCTGGGAGGATAAAAACACTGACTTGTACATCGGCTGGCCCCCGCAAGTCATTGTATAGGCCACATCGCATTCAAACGCCACTACGAATGTGTACACGAATGGAAGTAGAATGCGTGCCGCATCCCAAAAAGGGATTGATCAACGGCTAATGCTTCATCATTTAACCTTTCTTTTTGGCATTTTCTCATAGTTTTACTTTTTATAAGCACAGCTCGCTCGAATCCAGGAGAATTAGGTTTATGTGGGATTGCAACAGCTGTAACCAGAGCCAAATTACTGGCTCCTTCTGTCAAGCATTTCAGTTGCAGCCTCAATTTTCCGTCCATTTGTAGAAAAAAGCCCCTTTATTTTTTCGTGCAAATGTGGAAAAAAGAAAACATCGCGACGACTTCGGACAAGCAGAAATGACTGCTTTTTGATTATTAACGGCTGTTTTTGGCTTCAGTTCTCCTTGCGAGTGCTATTACAAGAATTCTGGGTTACGAACATTTGTATTTGTCAGAATTTTGCACTTAACCCAGCATTGTTGCGATAACAATGCTTCATTTTAGCCAGCCCATGTCCCTTTTCCTGACTTGCATTCATCAATATGCATTTTCTGTTTTTGTCGCTTTTTTACTTAGTTTAACATCTTTACCGTGGAAAATTAGCTAATTCCACTGATCAAATATTTGATAGCTGAAATATTGCTCATAAGGTGGGCGAACGGTTCTTATAGCGTAGATGTGAATGATGTGAAGGGAACATTTTCATTTAATATCTGTATTTGGCTGGAGCCTGTTTATACAAAAACTCGCGCAGGACACGGTAAGCATGAACGGGCGCCAGCGAAACGCTATCGCCTCGAAAACACACAACGATTTGAACGTTTTAAGGATCTGTAATTTTTTACTGCAAACAATTCCTCTGCTAAGCTCAGCTTTTTGTAAAATAACAAATATTTTGAAGAAAAATTCTTATTTGGTTTTTTTTTCTTCAAATTCTTCTGTGATAAGTTGATGATGGATTTTGCCGATTTCAGACAAACAAGCCGATGATGGAGAAAAAACGTCGCGCTCGAATCAATCATTGTCTTAGCGAACTGAAAGAGATTCTCATCTGTGACAAGCATGCGGTGAGCTGTTTATCACATCTTATCCGTTCAAGCCAACTTGAAATCTCTCTAACAAGCAGAAAGACGGGAAAGGGACCACCGAAAAGAATCATTATCAAAAAATTCAAAGCGGGGGTTACATCGGTTGATATTTGGGTAGTACGTCCGGCCTCGACCTATCTTTTTGAATAATAAATTGATCCCCAATTAAAGATCCCTTGTATCACTGCTATGAGAAATTCTATAAGGGTTCCCACGCTCTTCTTCTTCAATATTATGAAAAAATTCAATCGCCTTTATAAAGATTATAAAGAGCCAATTTCGAGATGGTAGAGGTATTATCCCAAAAATAACTCAACTTAATTCTGATGCCTCTGGGCCATATGAAAGGAATCTTTTCCAGAAATTGCAAATCTGCAGTTTTGCTACAAGGCCGTGGCTAAAAGCTGTTCTTGAGTGAACGTTTGTGAACCTGACAATGTTTTATATTATAAAAACTTTACAACATGCGCGCCCTTTTCGTATTTTTGTCGCACCCCCCCCCCACTCCCCCCCGCTGATAGGGATTTCATTTGAGTCCTTCTAAAATTACACTCTGCGACCAAGTTCGTGTGGCTATTCCGCTCGAAAAGAAAGCAAGAGTGAAAAATAGATTGAAAGAGAAGAAAAAGAAGAAACCAATCGAAATCCTGAAAATGGAAGCCTTCCCCCTTCAAGCTGAGAGGGTTCGCGAGACAGAGAGCGAGGAAAACGATGCTGTGAACCGAGGAGGGGGTAAAGAATTGGAGAAGAGAGAGCATGCATATGTGCGAGCGCGGATACGGTCTGCGACGTCATTACGCGGGCGAGGCCTCAGGTACTGCCGGGGGAGTCTCGTGTACCTTCCTAAGCTTTAGTGCCCCTGGCCGGGAATTCTTGACGCATGCGGACTGTACAGTTGACAAGCTGCGACCTATCCCCGATCAAGTCTGGTTCTACACTCAGAAGTGAAACTAGGAATTCATTCCGAATGAGTTGTTTTAGTGGGAACATGGTTTGATAGATATACCTCATTCCCTTGAAGAGCACTGGCACTCATAGAGCTATCAGTTTATCCCTTGCTTTTTCTAATTGCAACTAATTTTTTCTTCATCTTTCCTCAATTATTTACTTTTTAATTTCAAATCTGACTAACTATTTTCCTGCTCCATTGATATGCTGTTTTTAGCAGCCCTGAGTGACATAACTAAATCACTGTGGAAGATCACACCTTTCTTGCCCAGACTTTGTGAGAGTCTGTTCCCAATTGGTGCTATGTGAAGGAAAATGTTGTGGTGCGCTTCTCAAGCTTAATAAATAAATGAATGAATAAATAAGGCCTTTTCTCCTGTGAGGCTTCGCCGGGCTTGAGCAGACGTTATTGGCTGAAGTTTCGAAGGTACCCTTTTTAGAGCCGTGACTCACCGGGAAAGACATTCAACCTCCCATGGAATATTGAACAAGACCTAGATATATCGATAGGGCTTCAAGTATTTACATAATGTGAAAAATTAAGACTGCGAAATTGAAATCTGCCAAGGAATTGTTGTAGCAGTCAAGTGTACGGGATGATACTAAGGCGGGAGCTATGATCCGTGCTAGCGTTCCTGGCATTCAGAGTCCGCCATTGACGTGGCTGAGTAGTGCTGGCTCAGAGTGTGGCGCCTCAACGCTGGAGGACGAAGTCGCGACCTACCGGCTGAAGAGGGAGAGCATTATCGGTTTTATCGGTATATCTAGGTCTTGATTTACAGTTCCCTGGGACTTAAATGGCTTCCCTGGTCAGTTCGATCCTTGAAGCAAGCTGCATGGAACAAGTAGAAACTCTTGTTGTTCCTGATTCCATGCATATAAAAAGTTCCTTGAAGTGAATCAAACAAATGAGCCACTTCGTCGCTCTTGAGATCAAGGGGGAGCCTGTGAAGAATCTGACGATAGGATGAGGCTTTTCAAAAAGTCACTCTTCAAAATCCGCTTGTTCTTGAACTTCCTGAGGAAATGGTCAGGCGTCATCTTGAGCTGATTAGATAAAAGAACCTTTTTTATTGTCTACGCCTCGCCAATTTTCTTTGGCCAGTGGACGTGCACATGATCGTATAAGGCGGTTGGCGTGCGACATACCCGAGGAATCCAGTTACGATGTTGCGCTAAACAAATCATCTTCACGGCGTGCGCATCGTTCGGACGGACGAAATTACGATCAAATCGCATCAATTATTCCGCTACGGAAACACCATCGCTTGGTTTTTGAAACATTTGAAAGAAAAAAACGTGCGACATCAGCCGCAACAAAGAAGAATGAAATTGAACTAGAGAAAGCCTCCGGCTGATATTATTTTTAGACCCCATTCTCAAAATCGGAACTGAACAATATCCCGCCTTTCGATCATTAGCGACAGTTTCGCATCTGTTGCCAAGATTCAACAAGGAGAAGATGTGTGCTTTCTTGATAAAGTCGCTTCTAGCCTTCAGACTCATTATTTCAAAGAGATGCGTTGGAGTTCATTCATATAACTAAAACACATACTTAAGGGGCGGAAGTTGCACATGGCAATGGCGCTGTTTGCCATGGCGCACTGTTCGGGGATCAAATGCTGGATCGTGTTAAGGCCGGTCGAGCCTTCCATCCGTCTGCGGTAATTGGCATCAGAAAAGGCACGGTATAGTCCATTACGAAGTTACTATTATTTAGCGTGTAAATAAAACGGGAACAGAGGTCTTCAATCCCTAACGATTTGTTCGATCTTTTGCTCCTCGGGGCTCAACCAGACCCTTAGCGCGCTCAAGAATCTGGCCACTAATGGCCTTCAGTGCAGTCCCCGGAACCGCACCTCTCTTCAGCCTTCGTGGTACCTTTGACTCCTTTACAGGGTGTAACCTAAAAGTTCTTTCCAATTGATGGTCTTGATGGAATGCGAAGGTTGTTCTTTGGGTGTTGTGAGACTACATCAATTACCATCGTATAAATCATGATGTCGTCTACTTGGAATATCCATTCCTAGAATTTCCGGAGCTCACAGAATGTTCCGTTATGAAATTATTAATTTCAGTCAGCCGGTCACGCCAAATGGGAAAAAGCTGACATACTTGAAATGACGGTTGACTACATCAAGAAACTAAGAACACTGAGAGGTAGGCTACTCGTACTTCTTGCTCTTCTTTGTTTTCACAGAACATTTTCACTGCAACAACCTAAATAACAATGTTCACCACAAGTGTCTGATCTTGAAGCATTGAAGCTTCTGTAAGTTTGGCGTGCAGTTGTGTTTCGTTGTATCACACTTAGCTAAATTCTCCTTGATCCCGACTAGAGGCCAAACATGGCCCAGGTTAGGTTAGAAAAATTCAACGGCAGTGACGTATTCTCGTTTTCTGCTGCAATAAGACGAGCCAAATGAAAACGGAAGCCCTTAAAGTCAGGGAATACGATAAGATTGGGTTGGGCTGAAGGTAGAAGTGGTATTGCTAAATAATGCTCCAAAGGCGAAAAAGCAAAGGAATTCGTCCAGAATACGCAAAAGGGGACCCATTTCTTTTTCCGATGACTTCAAGTATTGGACGAGCCAGCAAGCAATTGAGAGTTCGTCCGCAATGTCGAATACCGCACCAGCCAGCGTTGTATCCCAACATATTCTTAATTTTATATGTGGGTTTATGATAACGATTTATTCATTTTCGGGCACATATTATATGTTATGATTGCGCTCTCGTAACGTGAAATACCGTATCCTAAAAAGAATGGAACAATCCGTCAGCATCACACTAATGGGCGGCGCAGAGGCGGCGAGGCGGAACGCAAGAAAGGACTGGCACTCCAGGACGTCAGAATAGGCGCCTTGTCAGCACGAAATACGCCACGTGTCGTTCTTCAGCCCACTGAACTACCGTTTTCACTGGTGCCATGTTCTATTCCGGCCCGGTCACGTCTCATCGGTAATCCCCGACTTTGCGTTCCGCGGGCCCGAATTTTAATTTATCGTTTTTGTGGATTTTCATTAAAAATGGCAGATTAGTTCGTGGATCAAGGGGACTTCAATGCACGGATCTCCTAATTAGTTGACAAAAGCGAAGAACTGTCTTTGACTCTCGTATAAAATTCTAGGTACAATAATCAATTAGCTCTAAAAAACTAGCGGTCCAACAGCCAATTTGTTTGTCAGGAAGTATGTGTCAGTTCACGATAGTGGGGGCGGTCTGGGGGGGCAATGCAAGTTATTTGGGAGGATTGGGATGAGATCGTTTTTTTTATTAATCGATTTCTTCAATGTATTAGTGTAAATCAGTTCGCAGCACTTTTCTTTAAGACTGCACCATCTTTTAGTGGAAAGTTGGTGAAATCCACGTGGCCAACATCCGTCCAAGTTCGCAGTTGAGAGTTCGGAATGACATACATATTTCGCCTACCGTACTGCTTACCCTTTGACGACCTTATGGCCATTTGAATGGTTGTAAACTTTTATTTTTCTTCTTTTTATTTGATATTGCCGGCGGCCATGGCAAATGATTCATTCTAGTTCCTCCTCTTTCGACATTTTGGAAATTTTAGTTTACTAAATTTATGTTCACTCACTTCTGTAACAAGGCTATAGCTATCAACAGTGGTGCTCAATCGATATGCTTTCTATCTTATTACGAGAAAATCGGGTAGAAAAGAGTACGGTCTATCATAAACTCTACTAATGGTAATTATTAGCAATTTATCATCATTACCCACAGAATAAGAATACAGCACATGTGGTGGCTTCTTGAAAAACGGAGCATTAATCTTAATTGCAATTGTTGCCACACTAGTAATATTCCTTGCACGGTTCAGTCGATAGGACCCAGTCGTTGGGGTTCACCAACTGTTTGGTTTGTGAAAAATATTGCCATTTAGGTGTAATACAAGTTTAGATGTAATACAAATAGCATGTAAGTAAAAGTGAGAGTTCTGGTTGGTGCAGCAAACGGCTGCCCTGTCAAAGTTAGCTATACTAAGGTTCCAATTGAAGCCACTAAATTGGAATTCAGTGTGAAATTTTCATTGGTTTTTTCAGTACTTTGCTGATATATCATCTCGCTGATTTACAACGTAGGGTGTGGATGGTTGATAAGATACGAACGACTACCTAAGAAAGTTTGCATTCAATCAATGTTTTGCTATAATTAAGCAAAAATGCGGTCTCCTGGGACCGCATGGCCCGCCGGCGGGCCACATGCGTGTCTGGCGTGCGGTCCCACACGCTAGACACGTTTAGAGCGCGCGGTCGTCAAAGGGTTAAGGTTTTTTTTATCAGCCATCGCCCAGGTCTTTCATGCCCTCAACAAAATAGGGAAAGGTACATCAGCAAGTTTGTAAAGAATTGGCCGTGTATTACGGAAAAGTGAATTCCAAATGGATCTCTGCTCGCTCTGTTCTTTCAAGCCAAACTAAATATATAATATTCGAGAGGGGTGCAGTTGAATATACATATAATTCGAGGGGGATCGGTGTTCCTTAAGTATGAACCTCAATAGTCTTCTTCCAGGTCACACACCAACATTCAACGTCACTGTCGCATTGGAGGACACTTTGTCACATGGTGTCAAGGAGTGCGACTCAACGCCTACGTCGGCCGTGCCGTCACCATCCAGCGCCGAGTCCACTTCTGACGGGCCAACGACTGCGAAACGACGGCGGACAGCTCCTGCCCTTACGCCGCCCATCTCGGAAGAACCACGACCTTTTGCGCCAGCGCCGGCGCCATCAACACCGAACAGTCTTGCCAGCTTGCCTCCCACAAGAATACCTCCCACCGTAATGACGTCAAATCTTCGGCCACCGCCACCCAATTTCAACTTCATGGCTCAGCACCTGTTGGCTTTGCAATATCAGCAAAACCTGAAAATGGCTGCCATCGCGCCAGGAATGGTCCCAACAATCACATCTGTGCACCCGTTTGCGGCCATGACGGCTATTCCGTGGAGAACTATGTAGGGCATGTGGTGCGGTTGTAGAAATCTTGTCATATGTGTTGGCGCAGCCCTGCCAACGTGCGAAACTTTTGTGAATTCCAGCTCGGTTTGTCTCTTCCAGAGAAGCACCTAATTTTACCTTTGTGTTGTATGTATGTATTTATAACCCGTCTAGGTCACCGTGTAGGACGTGCCAAAAAGTGAGGACTCTGGGTTGGGAATACGTGACGTGTTGCCGAATAAGCCTTTACACACTAGCCGTGAGTGGATTTATTGCGGTTCTCCAGCTTGAACTGATAGGCCGAAATAGGCCTCCATTTCGCATTTGAGCTTGCTGTACGACTGTCGTAGGCTTGGAAAGCAATATCAAGCTCTTAGATTTCAGAAACGGCATCTCTATGAAGGTCATTGAACACCAAAAGAGCTTTTGAGCCCTGCGGTTACACTGCGCTCCTGCACTGGCGCGGATTTGTGTCGATGGGTCAGCGCGCGGTGACGCAAATTTTCAGGCGATGCCGCGCGCGACGCGCTGGCGCGATACCTGGATTCTTCCCCTCGCTACCCTCTTCCTCCTTTGCGCGTACGATCCCGTGATAATCTGCCCTTCTATAATCAGCAACGCCAAGGAACAGCGACTTCGGCCCCTAACATGGGAGAAATGCCGATATGATGATCTACAATGCTGTTTGGACTGCTGATTCGTCGTCCTTGACCTTGTTGTCACAGCACTCGTAATCTATCGCAGTGCTGGCACCACAATTCCAAAAACTCTTTTCACCTTCCCGTCCATGTTCAGGTGATTCATTTCAAATCCAAACTAAGACAAACATGCAGTTCGACTTGAAACTTATGAAACCTTTTGGTTAGCATTAAGTGACCGGTAAGCATAAATAAGTAGTGCGCCACTTGCAGAAATACACTGCACTAAAACGGCAAACATGACTGCACACTCGTGAATCCGCGCCGCAGTACGCTTCGCATGGAAGGAACTGTGGGCAAATGGACGGTCGTTGAAGTCGCACTGGTTCTGGAAAAAGTATAAACTGCAGGCGCGATGTACATTCTGGGAGGGGGGGGGGGCAGTCTTGGAAAGCCACTAGGACTAAGCCTAACGCAGAGGGACGAATTCCTGGAGCGAATGAAAATTGCTTACGCAGCTCGGATTCCCTCTTCTCCTCCAAAGCTTAGTCCTGAAACTGAGCATTTCCGTGAATCTGACGCAATGTTACGGGCTGCCACCCCTAGGCACCCCTAGGGAACATTGCGCCTAAGCTGTATGAAAATGCTTGAAACCAGTTCACGTGAAGTTTTTGGCACGCCTTGCACCATAACGAGGGATCCAGATTTATCCCGAGATTCCTGAATAGCACAGCCTCCATGTGAATTCACTTACAGATGTCACTATAAGCCTATATTACGCCGTGCCATTGCTGTCTCAGATCCTTATCCTAATGATGATTACTTATATGTGTCTTGTCGAATCTCGCTTCTGATTATATGTATAATATAAAATGTATTTAATGCCTTATTTGTAGATGATTCACTTATGTGTAAAGTGCCTTGTGATAAAAGTTTTATTCAATGACTAGACGACTGTGTGAAGAACTCTCAGCAGAACAACGACTGACTTCACATCCAAAACACACTAGGCTGATCGCTAGTACACATTACTTAAAGGTACCGGTAATTATGCAATATATATTTCATCATGTCGTTAAATAAGACAGATAAGGTGTAGGGGGACATACATGAGGAATGAAAGACGACGAGATCGAACGAAGAGGATAAAGCCACTGGGACGGGATGGGGACAGCTCGCAAGCGTGCGTCTGTTATTAATACCTGCACACAGATTTTTTAAACGATCTGCTTAAGAGAAGCGTATTGTCGAAGAAAAATAAACAGTAACATCGAGACACGCCCACATAGGGGCGGAGCTTAGCACATATGCTTCTGTGCATTTGTAGCTCTTAGAAATCAATACGTATTTACAATGATAATGACGAGTTTTAGCATGAATTCGCAGTTCGTGCCCAAACGGTTCGATACGGCAAGGACTGAGCCTGAGGGCGTTGAAGAGGTGTGGCAAGCAGATCAAATCGATACGTCTTTGCTGGCTCCAAGCCAACTACCGTAGTCTCAATGAGACCGATTGAGTCATCCTGTGCCAGTATGGCCTCAACACTTGGACCACGATGTGAGTAGCAGCCAACCAGTTCCGATGACTCTAGACCACCTTCGCATAGATTGTTTGCCTGAAAAAATTGCTTTCAAAATCGTAATCATTTTTTGAAATAAGGAAAACAGGTAAAGCCGCTCTGAAGATTTGAGCCAGAGAAGAGTTGCTTAGAAGTAACCAAAGCCGAAGTCAGGAAATGCAGTCCCTCTGCAGATCTATGAGCGCAGAGAAAAGATTGCTCAGCAAAGCAACCACAGCCCGACAGCTCAGAGCCCACCCCCACACACTGCAGATTCGAACGCGCCACCAGCACGCGCCGGTGACAGCACTCCCCACGTAAACAGCAAGGCCATTGGATGAACTAGTGACTATCGGCAGCGCTCTTCCTCGCCTCTCGTGAATGATCGCTTGCCGCGCAGCGCGCCAACGCCCAAAGCGCACGTGGCATGACAAGCACGAGACAATCTTAGTGGACGCAAACTTAAGAAGCTTAGACCTTTAATAGATAAGCGATCGATGGCCATAGATCGCGCAGAGAAGCGTCAGAGAAACACCCTCCAAAACATCAGAGAATCTCCCACTCCCCCCGCCACCCCCCACCACCCCCCCCCCCACCGCCCACACCCCACACACCCCAGAGGAGATCGTTCGAGCAAGGCACGTGAGCTCTATTCCAGTCGAAGTGGGCGGGAAGCGTTGCTGTGGGGGCGAATGGTTGCAGGCCCGTAAGGATTAGCGCCCTAACCGCGCAGTTTTGCGACGAATCTGAATGATATCCTTCCCACAAGCCGGGCTAATCCTGGGGTTCCCCCTTGACGGATACAGTTTGATGTCTAGATTGGAAAGGAGGAGTCAAATGAGAAATTGGAGAATCGCAGTAGCCATAACTCTTCTCCCAACGACACCAAAAAACGCCACGCATAGTTCTTGAAATCTTGAATTTTTTAGATTTCTGGAAAGGATGTTCCATAAGCTCTCATAAGCTGAGAGTCATGTGCTTCACACGTGTCATCGACTAGTCACTATTTCTCTTATCAGTCCGCGTTGAGTTGTTCAAAGAGCTAAAGTTAGACTCAGGTAAGACTTCAAAACGCCCCGCAGGCTGACTTCTGGTCTCCATACCTGGTGAGTTTGATATTTTTAGCCCTCTTTGTGTCTCGTGGCAAGAAGCGAGAGAATACTAGGTGATCATCAAATATTGGATTAGAAGAGTCAAGTAAATCATTTTAATCATCAAAACAGAGCGCGTCCGAAAAAAAAGGGGGGGACGAACCGAAGATTCACCGAATTCTTGCGAGAGTGTTTTGTTTACGCAACACGGAACCGGTGGAATCCGAAATAGTTCATAGATCGACGTTAAGGCGTCCCTAGATTCAATTGCGATTACAATATGGTGGGGGTCTGCTATGACAAGTGCGGCTCTAAATAGGTTTTGTGGGGCATATACTATAGCGCCACCAATAGTTCAGGTGAAGAGATTAGGATATCTCACCTTACTTGATCACTAGTTCTCACGGTAGTGTGGCGGTTCTCTGCGGCGCTGATAGGCTACAATAACTCACAGCACAGTGTTCATACGCGCTGAGACCCGCATACCATATGGGTAATCGGTCTATGTCGGTGGAGCTAACGAGCGACGAACCATTTTACAGCTGATAAGAAAGAATTGAGCGATTCAGGGGATTAGGACCTTTTTGGGGCCTATTCACTCAAGAACCATTCATATCGTTCGATGAAAACACACTTTCGAATTTCGCCCTATGTTGGCCAGACTCGATGTTATTTCGGTAAAGGTGTGATTGCGCTTGCTTGGTGGGATTTAACCGCCCACAAACCCCGCCACACAAACACACAAACACCCCCACCGGAGGGCCCCAAAGCGCGGCCCATGGAACCCGAGCTCCCCGCCCCCGACCCCCCACCACCCACCCCCCACAAACACCCACAACAATGACCCACCCGTCCCCCCCACCACCACATAAGCTTAGTGCGAATGTCTAAACAACTATGTGACGAAAAAGTGAATAACGTCTCGTCTATGTCTCTGGAGATTCGCGGCTTCATTTGACTTTGGCTGCTTTTATGAAATCTTCGATCATTATAGCACGATATACTTGATTATTTGAACAGGAAGTAGTGTGTAGATAGATGTAACCCTTCGTCTATATAAAAAGTTTTGTTACCCCCATTTACTGAGATGGACTCTAGTGTCTGGCAAGGATTCTGATGTCGCTAGATATTGGATATCGAGACTGCGATAGCGACGAAAAACAATTGGCTTTGAAATAAAATTTACATTAAGCCCAACTACCGGTAAATCTGCGTGAAGGCAAAATATCGGCAATAACGCGTAACTATACAGACGCTACATACGAATCTCGAATAGGGGAGTGCGCGCGGCGCCAGGAGTGATCAATGACGATCATCATTTTGCTCCCTACCAGTCCATGCCTCTAAACTTCACGAAGGCTATTGTTCTCAGCAACTTGAAGAGGATGCCTTGATTGTTTTGAGTTGCTTTTAGCTTTTTTCAATGCCTCCTAGTTAATTGTTAGGCCCTATACCAAATTTGGCGCTATCACAAGATAACGGGGCATTTGTGTCGTAACCGCGAGCCGCGTAATACTTCTTATGGTTGAAGGTCGGGGCTAAGCCTCATGGTGGAAATGAGAGGAGGACTGCAGAGTGCGAGAGCGATTTCCATTCCCGAAGGTCCTGCCCCATCTACACCTAATCCCAGAAGATGCCCTCGTATCGTATCTTGCGAGTGCGCCCCGAATTTTTATTTCATAATTTTGCATGTCCGATAACGCGACGGAACTCAACGCATAAACAAATGAATAATTTATCTTTGCGACAATGGACTGTCTATTGTTTTCTTACAATTAGTGGAAGAAATTCGTTCTGCAATGGTGATTGCTTTCTTACTAAAAACAATTACCTTTCCAGAATGACTGATTCTGGATAAATAAGAATTAGCATTGAAGGTCAGCACTGATGCGCCTTTTGGTTCTCTGCTTATAAGTGGAGTGGCGACTTCTAGAAGAACGTTGTTTAGCAAAGTTTAATGCGGTACGCTGAAACGTTTGCCGGAGAGACATTATAAGTTTCGGGTAATTATCTCGCCAGACTTTATTGTTTGCTTTTTGTATGGGGGGTTCCCAAAGAATCTGAGTTACTAGTGGGAGTTTGAATTTCAATTTTACAGTACAACTTCTGTAATTCACACATTAGTATGATGGGTTAAACAAAAAGCTGTAGACTTGAACGCCTAGCAAATTTTTTCTACTAAAAAATTGCATAAAGAAGCTCGCTCGAAACTATCCACACATGGTTTTGCGGGCTGGCGAATATCCAAATCATTCCTATGTGATAAAACATAGAGCTAAAAGCGACAAGAGTTCAGTCTGGTGGTGCGAAGGCAAGGGTTATCGGTTTCCATGTACCGCCTTTGTTTCGGCTGCCTTTCCAAGATTTGTTATTTTTCAACCGCTCTACATTTTCCTGCAGACTGCCTTCAAATACGCTGGAGGGATCTTCAGGAGTATGGCCTGATGGAGTCAGATAATTTAGGGAGTGGATAATAGATCAACTACGTCTGTGGGGACATACCTTGGATCTAGCCAAAAGAGGGGCGTTTTCAGATACTCGTGGGTAGCATACTCATTGATGCAGTCATGATTGGGAGGACAGATAATATTCAAAACGATTCTATTTCCGATTTTCAGCAGGGTATTAGAACAATCTGGCTCTAGATATGTTCCTGAGGCATCGTAGTGCATGTATTGTCTCATCGCGTGTCCATCCACGAGTTCGCGTCGTGTAGCATTGTCTGGTATCTGGAGCCGGATTGGGAGTCAATGCTAAGCCATAAACACCTACACAAGGAATAGAAACCCCTAAGATGATGTGAAATTGCTGGAGAAAGCCACCTACCATAGGAAGAAAGGCATTACGCGATAGTTAGTTAGTTGGTGCTCTTTGAATAGTTTGTTGGAATGCTTACTCAAATGTCAAGAAAAATCTGGAGCACACATTCAAGACCACTTAACGATTAGTGAACTTTGTCGGAAGTTCTCCTAATCCATCATTCTTTCTATTTTAAGGACCCATTTACAATCTCTTGGGATCTTCACCCGCGCCTCTATGTTGCATACATATATAAGTACACACTAACGACCCTTCCCTCCCCTTTGAAATCTATTGGGTGATAGCCACGTAAGTTTTTGATGGTATAAAACACAACTATTGAAGGGAAACTCGGTCTGTAGGTAGCGGGACAATAAGGATAATGATTCAAGTACACGTGGTAATTGCTGTTATGGGTTCGATACTCGATTTCATTTCCGCAACTAATAGATTTCGAAAAATCGGACTTCTTAACACTCAAAACACATCTACAGGTGAGCACAATTACCTCTTACAGTGGAGCTGCGCGCGCTCGCTAAAATTTCCGAGTTTGCATGAAAACTCGGAAGAAATTCTGAATAGTCCGGATGTGGAGGTCGCCACCTTACAGAGCTAATTTCAATGGTTGTTGGACCACATTTGAGAATCAAAACGTCATTTAGTTAGGACGGAGGCTATTTGCGCTCGAAAGTCGGGATCGCTAATAACTGCTCTTGGGAGAGACTGAGACGAGCTCAAAGACACGTGCTTGCGCCACAGTGGATGCCTACCCCAAGTGACTCAAGCCCCGCATGGAGTTAGATTAGAGAAAAATGCTGAATATTTCTTTTTTGAACGATGGACTTCCAGTTACCACCTCCAACCTCAGCAAATAGCTTTGTTTGTTTGCCTGTCTGTTCTTCGAGTAAGTTTGTTTTCTAGACATTGTCTGAGTACAGAAGCTTGAAACGAGGCTAAATTATGCTTTTACGAGCCGTTCCATCGTAACTTTGCTGCATTAGGCATCCTTGATCTCCTCGTCAAGGTCAAAAAGTAAGCCTTTCTAAGGCACTATTGCAAGATACGGGGGCATGTGGTGGTAGTGCATTGAAAACCGCGTAAAACATCCCCTTTTTATTGAAATTAGGAGGAAAAGAGACCTTCTCATTGAAATCTGAGCAGGAGAACAGACTAGAGTGTGCATGAGCAATTTTCCGGTTTCCCCCGAAGTTCCGGTCCCCCCTGAACTTAGCCATAGAGGATGCCCCGGCTAATGCGATAGCGTTTCCATTTCTACAATACATAGAGCTGCTCACGCAGTACTCCAAAGTTCATGGAGATGAACCGTATGATAAACAAACCTTGTGTCCTTCAGGCAGTTTCGGATATGGCGATTGGTCGGCCTGTGTGCTCGCCCAAAGGTGGACGGTCTTCGGCTTCGCGTCATCATTACTAATTTGGAAACGAAGCTGACCTGAGTGGACGTTCACGACGAGGAAACTGAAACGGGGAAGATTTAATCCACCGTGTACGACTTAACAATCGGTCGAGGGTGTTACAATATTACCCTATAGGAATCTTAGGTGAATCCCTCTTGTGGGGTATTGTGCATAAATCACATGAAAATGGATGTGTCAATTATAAATATATGAACATACCGTCTGAAACCCGAGAACGGTTCGCTTCGCTTCAACAGTTTCCCGTTCCGATACACCGACATTCGCACGTACCCTTCGCAGGCATGCACGATGAGTAGTACCTGAAAAAGTAGGAGATTGATTCTCCATGCCCTGATGGTCCATAGTTGTTGCTCGGAAGTGCAAATCTTTATCTTGCAAATCCTCTCACTCAAACTACTTGGTCACGAAGTAGAGTGAATGCATTCGGTATGGGTATCTCGGTAACTGCGGTCTATGTGCTGGCAGGAGATCATTTATTGTGTTCAATAACAAATCCCGCGACCTTTCCGAAACGTTTTTTTTTTCGGTCGGGGGCCTGTGTCCAAAGTACATCCCACAATATTTTTTGATGGTTTTTTGTAGGGTATGGGAAGGCATCCGAGAGGTAGTATAGAGAGAGCAATCACAGACCGCTATTGTCCCCTTCTTAGCTGTAAAAGCGCGCCAACATTGGCGTTGGTTATTCTCACGACTGCCTTCGTTTTAGATTTTGTTGTTTTCTGCGCCAGAGTGTTGCTTGTCTATCTTTCTTTGGCTTTTTCTTCGCCAACACTCTCTTTTACTGGCTCAGTGTCTCTAGAATCCCCTGGGGCCCAATTCACAGTATGGAGTGCGCCTCAGTTCTCCGTTTTTGTACAGTTCTCTTCGTTTTTTAGTTTCACTACGATCATCTCCGCTTTCACTTTCGAGTCAAAGAACACATCGGTTGTTGTGTGCGTGGCACACTAAAACTTATGTTCGCTAAATATGTGCGTCGCAAAATTGCAGGGTTTCATGAATTTGTATTGCGTGCACAACTCGCGTGTTCAGCGAATGACGATGTTGACTGTTGGAGCATCCCCTCCAGATTCCAGAAATTCACGTGCCAGGTGGGACGAGAAGCCATAAATCACCGTTTCGCTATCTTCATTTGATCTGTGAACAAAGTTACTGCAAAATTTATGGGTTTCCACGAAACGTTTTGAAAGTGGCGCAGCGGCTAACTGCGCTATAAGTCATGAACCACAGAATTGAGTCTTTCAGACCAACTGACCCACACCACATTAATTATCTAGGGTAGAGTTTGTCTTTGAAATAGCAGCGCTGCCCAGACAACGACGGCACATGCTAGGAACCATGATTAAGGCTACAATTTCCCCACATTTTCTCACATCTGTGGGAACACTCCGAAACGAGTGATGCCGTTAATTAAAAGCTTTCCAATACATTTATAGAAGGGATAGGATTGTGAGTTTTTTGAGTCCCACATCTAAAAACTCGTTTGGGTGGGAAGAAGCAGTCACTGTGCATTCGTTCCCCAAAGTGGGAAAAATTGCATTTAAATGCCATTACAGCAATAATTTGCAGTAGAAGGCGTGGTGTATCCTAAAAAGAGGTTCGGAGAACTCTGGATTCCTTATATTTCGAATTCTTTCCATAGATAGAGTGCATGTGGAGCAGTAAAGCCGCAAATGTGGCCCTGCAAAAGCCAAACCCCGTTTTTGCTGGCTGGAACAGGAAATACTTTCGCATTACAACACCGCATCGGCTTGAGGTTTCCAGCCAACAGCTGACATGCCATTGACGTAGGTCGACGGCTATTTTGAGCTGCGGAATGCGACGTGCATATTTACGGAATCCGTTGACGCATTCGCATAGCGGAAGGAGTTCTACGGCGATCGCGAGAGAATAGGAATATTTCAGAGCCCACGTGGCCAAAATGTGACCACAGTAGGCTTGGGTGACTATCGACCACTTTGTTTTAGTGCCGGTAACTATCCGCTACCAGAACTTCAAGTAGAAGGGCATCGCATTCAAGTACCATAAAATTTGTGCGGCATATAAGTGACTACCCATTTCGGGATGCAAAAACGCGTATTTTGAAGACCGCGAAAATGAGAAAGATCAGAAAACTCTAAGGAAAGCCTTGTGCAGTATTTCATTTAGTCTTATTTCCAAGTTCATCTCTAGATTTGCGGATCGGTTGGATTCACGAATCTAGGGATGAATCTACGGACTTGAAAGTCCCCCCCCCCGCATTCCCTCCTTATCGTGGAATACGCCTTCGATCCCATTCTCGCTAGATTCCACAAAATTAAGAAGGCGTCAACAACCGTACAAGTAAAGCGCTTATCAAAAAGATTTGCAGTAATGTAGGCAAGGACTTTGTACTACGCCACTGTAGTGGCAACTGGCGCGCTTACCATATGTCGATTTCTTAGCCTTCGAATCTACATTTTCATTTGTGGCTCACCGACACCAACAGTTGTGGCAATTTTACGGCGGGAATTCAAATTACTTGTACTTGTTCGGATTTGGATCAAACTAACGCCAATCCTTCGTTCTTTTTGCTATCCTCACGAAGTAGGGGGACTGAGGTACGAACCTCTGGTGAGATGGAGGCAAGGTTTTTCCAGTGAACAAATCGTTTAAAGTTCACTTTACTTCTACAGTCCAAAGATGCATTGAAATGAACCTTGAGAACTCTTGTAAACCCACATAAGAGACAGTCAAGCGCCCCGCTGCTTTTAAAAGCTTGATAATTACTTAAAACAAGTATTTTCCAATTAAATTGTTGTGGCGCTCACTTCAGTAACCCGAACGTATGTTTTCGATCTCGATGTTTTGGAGCGTTCCCTTCAAGCAGGTGCTTTTCTCAAGCTGCTCATTAATATTGCTGGATAATAAAAACGACTACTAAGTCGTAAGTACCGTATTTCGAGACCCTGCTCGTAAACAGCCGCAGGGAGTCTGACAGTAGCCAACGTGCTTGCGGTTTAAATCTCGCAGAGCTGTCAAAAACAACGTTTCTTGAGAAAAACAACGCGTTATTTCAATTAAGTGAGGGGTGGTGGGACGGAAAACCGTAATCCCTTTTCTAAAGCTGGTCTGAGCGACTTACAGTAAAGACTTTGAAATGCTAAATGCAAGCAGTATCGATCTTGCTGAGCCGTTGTTGTCACGAGACGACATCACATAATGACCAACTGGGTAAAAAATGGCCCAGCTAAAGGTAGAACATGAACACTTTACCAATCACATAGTTTCTGGGTCAGCGTTGCTCATAGATTAAGGGACGCATCTCTCTGGAAGTGGCTAAATTATTGAAAACCCGCCCAAAGCTTATCATCCGTTGGCTTTCCCACAGCAACTCAAATTACACAACATTGGAATGGGTCTACTGCTATGAAGGGGAAGAAAGGGAAGTAGAGTGCGTGGCGTATCCGAGTGAGAGATCTATCACTCGATCCTTTATTGTCTTATGATTGAAAAACTCACCTTATTACTCTTCGTTGTATTAGACGGCACGATAAACTGGTAATCGAGTGTTGAACTCTTTTTGGGTGGCAGATTACCGGATTCTAGAACGGCGTTGTGGAGCGATTGTACCTGTAAGCGTAGTATAAACGCAGGGAATCTTCGGAACACACATGAGTGGAGCTGTTTTGGCTAAATTCTATGCGACCTTCGTATGAAACTTCCTCAAAAACTTCAACAAAAGAAAAACACAAATGACTCGAAGTCGAAACTCGCGTCTTTTTAGTCGTTTTATAATTTGTTTACTGTTACTTTTCCTATACGGGAAAATATAACCTTGGACTCAGCTTCTTTGTATAGGACTACCCTCTGAACGGAAAACTTTCATTTACTTTTTTCAATATCGAAGTGCTATTTTTTAATTCCGAATTGCCCAAGGCGACTTTTGAGAAGCACGAGTCATAACAAAATAAAACGAAA